ATTTTTTTATGGTCATTGTAATCCTCTAGTTTTTTTTGGGTTTTTTTGTTTTGTTTTTTGGTACTCACTTTACAAAATACAACCTTCCCTTAAATAAAATAAAATGGAAGTAACTTTTTAGCTGTAATGTGATATGATGACCATGCAAGTTTCTTCTGTATTTTTCACACTTGTGGTGATTAAACTTTTTAAACAGTGCTTGATTAATAAATAATTGTAAAATATATGTATGCCAAACATACATATTTTGTTGATAAAAGTAATGCAGGTTTTTTTTTTTCTTTTTTGGTTTTTAATAGCTAGATACAAGGCTTTATTTTTGAATGAAGCAGGTCGAATGCATGCCATATCAGGGGAAACAACTAGTGCTGCCAAATTTTATCGATTAGCTTCAGAGGTTTTTATACTTAAACCAAAAAATACAATGCATGTTCCTGAATTAGAGGGTCAGGCCCTGATGCTGCTGGCCAATCTGAATGACCAGGGGTGAGTGAATTCAGTGTAACTCAGATACTGTGAACTTTTAGGAACATCCAAATTCAATTTTTTTTAAACTGTATCTTGCTGTATCTAGCTGTAGGGATGGGCAATAATACCAATATTCAGTATATTGTGATACACTGAAAAAAATATATTGCAATACCCAATACGCAATATGCAATATGGGTATTATTTGATTGAATATAAAAATACCAATATAGGGCTACAATATTATGTTATACAATTTACATTTGTTTAAACAGTGATAACATCTAAAAGATTCTTTGGAAAGTCTTATTCATTGACAGAGAAAGCATGAAGTACATTTATTTACCCTTTTTTGTAGAAATATGAAGGGGAAAGCACAGTCAGCATGGAATTCATGGAAGACAGTGATTACATCTGATTCTTACATCTCCGATGGTGCGGCATTGACAGCAGTGGAACACTGGCTCTGTTTTCATGCTGGGTCATGGCAAGGCAAGTTTTGAAATTAGGATCTTAATTACTTTTCGCTTAATTAAACAGAAGACAAGAAATCATTTTGTTCTGGTAAAAGTTTGTCTGTATCGTGTTCATTTACATGTATCTTCCTATAATTGTTCAAGAATGGAGACCATTATGTGTCACTGTTAATTAACTGTTTTAATTTCAAAATCTTAAAAATCATGCAATTTAGTAAATTAATACACCTTCATACATATTTTATGCTTCTTTTTTTTTTTTTCGAATATTTTTTAATTCCTTTCTCAAAGTTTCGTTTCATTCAGTTAAAGCCATTTTATTCAGGTTACTTTGTAATGTTAATAGATGGCACTTCAAAAGGGGTTTAAGCATTACGTAGGAATATGTATTGGTGAATGATTTAACAATGTTTAGACTCTGCAAGTATGTCATAAGTAAGAAATTTTTCTCCCGGCCACTATAGGTGACTACTTGGATGAATCAGTCAGAAGACTTGTTCCTCTCTGTTCACAACATCCCCAGCTTCTGTACCATCTCTCCTTAGTTCACGCTCTCAGAGGAGATGTTCACAACTCACTGAAATGTTACTGTGAATTCAGAGATTAAGTTTATATCCAGATCATCTCTCCTTAGTCCACACTCTCAGAGGAGATGTTCACAACTCACTGAAATGTTACTGTGAATTCAGAGAGTAAGTTTTTATAAGGGGGATTCATTAAAGCTCATTATATTTTTAACCGTATGTCTGTTCAGTAAGGCCAAGGGATGTCAGTTGTAATATGAAGAATCTATAGTTTGTATCTTTTTGGTGAAAAGAATCTCATGCCAAACATAAAGGTTGCTTTTGACCAGTGCAAATATCTGGACTCTGAACCTATAGCAGGCTAGAGGGATAAAGATATGGGGGCAGGGGAGGAGAGTGTATGGCTGTGAAGTAAATATTTTATTTTTTTCAGTAAAGTGTCTGGTTCTAACATGCCTGGGGAGGGCATTGCTCATAAACAATCAGGTAATCCATGGCTTCCCCTGGTGGATGTAGCCAGAAATCAAGGGCAGATAACCTGTATACCTGTTCTCTGGAGAACTCAGCTCAGACCTTTGTGTGTTCAAACAAAACCTAGGTAACATTATCTCAGTTCATTATTATAAAAAATTATTATTTTTGTATATTTTAAAACCCCCCTGCAAACAAAATTTAGTGGGGTATATTGGAGTCTGCTTGTCCGTCTGTCTGTAGACATGATTTTGTCCAGACCTGTTCGTTTGCGAACCATATCCTCCCCAGGAAGATGAGAACCAAAAAGTTAAAACTCAACTGGAAATAGAAATAAAACATAAAATGCAATATTAGCATAAAAAATCAATTTTACTTACATAATATGACCCAGCCTGTACATGCATTATTTATGAATTCAAAGACAATTTCTTAATATTTGTTTGCTAAAATATTATAACTCTTATCTTAAGAGATTTTAAGACATTTGACATCAGAAATTTTTGTACAATGATATTCCGGTAATTTACTTAGATAAAATTTTCCATTTTAGAGTAACCCAAGAAGCAGATGTTGTCTCAGAACAGCTTAATTTAAGGATGACATCAGAAGGATTTCTGACAGGAGATATGCAGCTACTGGCGCCCCCTAGTGGTGGAATTTATCTAGATCCATATACAGGGTTAGAATACAATAATAGCAATCTGTGACATCTTGTATTTGTTAATTCAGTCAATTATTGATGGACAAAGTGTCTTAAATTTTACATTTTTTTCTTATTTTTGGAAACATTGCAATGCATAAAAACTGATAAAATGTAGACTATAAGATTCAATTACAGTGAAACCTGTCAAAGTGATCACTTGCAAGTGACTATCTGTAATTTACAACCACTAAATTTCCTCTTAAAAAATATATATTACATGTACCTGCATTCAGCAACTCCCTGTCTGAACGCAACAAGGTCTATTAATGAAAACCACTTCTTTCATAAATCGATAAATGCAGGTTAGAAATTTTTTAGATTTACTATGCCCCCCTTCGAAGAAGGGAGGGCATATTGCTTTGTGCTGTCTCTCTGTCGGTCTGTCAGTCCATTTAGTTTCCGTTCAATTTTTTCATAACCGTTGCACATACTGAAATGAAATTTTGTATACAGGTATATCAGATGAACATCTAGGTCAAGTTGTGTTTTGGGTATGATTGCACTATTTTTGACAGAGTTATGCCCCTTGGACTTCAAAAAATTCCAATTATTTGCAGTTTCCGTTCATTTTTCTTTGCAGAGGTTGCACATACTGAAATGAAATTTAGTATACAGATTAATCAGACAAATATCTAGGTCAAGTTCTGTTTTTGGTAGGATCACGCCATTTTTGACAGAGTTATGCCCCTTTGGACTTAAAAAAATTCCAATTATTTGCAGTTTCCATTCATTTTCTTCAGAGAGGTTGCAAATACTGAAATGAAATTTAGTGTACAGATTAATCAGATGAATATCAAGGCCAAGTTCTGTTTTGGGTATGATTGCACCATTTTTGACAGAGTTATGCCCCTTTGGACTTGGAAAAATTCTAATGGGGGGGGGGGGGAAATAAGTGTTTTACAAACATCTCTTGTTTTTTTTTTATTAACAGTTGCAGCTATTGCAGAAAAAGTACACAACCCATATCAATATTTTCTGCTACAGCTTAATTAATTCCTGCAATAACAGACAAAGAATTATTTTAATTGTTATACTAATTTGAATCCAAATTTTTTTTTAACTTCTCCCCCTTTTTCAGGAAGATTACATACAACAACAAAGGGACAGAACCATGGAGGGGGGTCATGAACTCGGGGGATTCCTCAGTTTCTGATCCCTGGAGGCTCACCTTACCCACGCCTCTCAAGGTCTATCATGATGAAGATGGAGTCAGTGTTCATTTATTGATGACGTCACAGACAAATTTTAATCTGTATAAATTCAATGACTTCATTGATAATGTCCTTCATCTGATTTGGCATGGACCTAATGATAGAAAGGTCAAGGTCGATCTTATGACCAAATTAGCAGATATAATCTATCAGGTAAACTATAGTTACACATAATAGGTAAATTTCCATTTTACCCCCCAATTTTGAATTTCTGTCAAAATGGGAAAAAATGGAGGAAAAAATAGAGACAATTTCTTTGGTATTGCAGTTAAACAGAATGGCAAAAAATTCAGAAATTGGCAGGTTAATACTATTGTGATAAAAAACATTTATTATATTACAGAGATATATTAATATTAAATAAAAGAAAGCATTAAAAGATAAAGATAGTTGAAAAGTGAATATATAATTATATTATTGCAGAAAAAGCAATTCATGATTATGGTTTTCATGAAAATAAAAGAGAAAATATTTATAGGACCCTGAAGTTAATATAAGGTACTTAAAAAACTACACAAATAATTTTCTGTATATGTCAAAATCATTGTAATAAATGAGGGGGTTTTTTTTACAGAAAGAAGAAGAGGAGCTGAAAAATGTAATCCATTTTAAAGACGAATCTCAGCGCCAGATTGCTCTGGATGTATTGCGGGAGTTATACAATAAAGGACACTGGGCTGACGCAATGGTACGCAACATTTTCAGTTTCAAATATTCATCCTCAATGTAATACTCCAGAGACCGAGTTCATAGAATGAAATCTTGTTGCTTAGTGTTAATGCTTCATTTTGCATTACCCTAGCCATAGTGGAAATTTGCTTTGCTTCAAAATATAGCCCATGCTAGAATACCTGTACCATTTCATTGTTAACATGTACAGGATGAGAAGGAAAGAAAAATATGTCCTTCAGAATTCATTGTATATATAAAGGACAATTATGCAGATATGATTTGAATATTTTGAGAAGTAAGAAAAACGAAAAAAAATTCCCTTCTATAAATACAATATATATATTTTTTTCTTTCAGAAAATTTCAAATCGTGTGCAATACAAACCTTATTACCTGTATTCAAAAAAACAATCAAAAAAAGATAAGGAAGCTGAGAGAAATAGGAAGACGGTCGTGGAAGGAAAAAAGCACGCATTTCACCTGGTGGCAGAACCTCTCATGTTTGGGAAGGCAGTAGCCATGATATTTGACCATTGTGAGCCATCTGTAATGTCAAATTTTCTTGTGGTGAGTTGGTTCTTCCTGAACCTGCAAAGTGGACTTGAAAAAAATTGCAATCCTGGATCTCTTAAATTATTTTACATCAATAAGAATTGAGGATGAATATATTTTACATGTATTGCATGAATGAAAAACATTTTAAAAGACTAGAAATAACCTGATACCAAGTACACGAAACGTATACCATACTGTCGATATACTGATCCTTTTAAAAGTGTAAAAGATACAACCTTAATATTAGCAAGTTTTGATTTTCATGAAATATTTTTGTTCTAGTAAAGCATGGACATAAGTTAGACATGGCTTAATGCAGATTATCGCAAACATGCATGTTTGCTTTAAGAAATATTGTGTATTGCCCCTGTGGTTTTGACACAAAATATTATTTTTGTCTGATGGTCACGAAATGTTTTATGATCAAAGTTAGAGGTTGAAGATCTTAGAGCAAGGCTCACCTATGATCTTTTTTGGCCCTGTGAATTATTTGACAGAGCTTCAGTAGCTTAAACAGCAGGAACATAAATTGTTACAGGAAATTGAAACACTAAAGTCTTTACATTTATGTTTTAAATAGGGTTACAGCCAGTTAATTGATTTGTGGACAGGGCCACTGTATGCATAAAATGAACTTCCTATTATCCAACGATCCATAGAAATTTCCTGTGTTTTTCACAAGCACTTATGTTTTTCATTTTTCATGAAGCATTTTCACATGCCCTTAACTGTATTAAAATTCACAAACTAATTTTGAAAATGAAATTCCTCGCTGTTTCAGATAGCAAACTGCTCTACAGAAGAGACATTTTTGAAAATGAAAATCCACTATATTGGGAAATGGTCCAAAGATTTCATACATTACAGTAACAGCCAAGAGAACCCGTACAATATACGACCATGTCAGTTTTATCAGGGATACAGAATCAACAACGCAGAAGTCATTCACTTTCGTCGTTCACACAGGTAAGGGAACATATTTTTACTTTAGAAAAATCTCTTTAACAAACAAATTCAGTAAATTGTGGCCCCCTCCTTCTGGTGTCTTGGTGGATGGGATATGAATATTTATGGCATATTGTGTCAAATATGAACACCCTCTCCTCTCATATGTCTTTCGAAAGTAATCACCAAGTTTTGAAAATTTGGTCAAACATGAAAGTCAAGGGGTCAGAAATCATAGCATGCTCGGAAATATCTTGTCACAGATAACGCACATGTCAAATATGAAAACCCTATCGCTTCTCAATCAAAAATTTATAAGGAAAAATAACATTTTTGGAAGTAGGTCATACTTTCAGGTCAAGGTCACAGTCAACATCACCGTGTATTTAGAAAGGTCTTGTCACAGATAATGTACATATTTAATATGAAAGCCCTATCATTTCTCTTTCAAAAGTTATGACCAATTCAAAGTAATGTTTAACTTTTTGAAAAGTAGGTTAGACTTCAAAGTCAAGGTCACAGTATATTTTGAAAGGTATTATCACAGGTAATGTAGATGTGAAACATGAAAGCCCTATCTCTTCATGACCAAGGTTTTTGTGACAGACTGACAGATGAATGAAATTGTGTCCCCTTGTTTTTGCAAAAGCGGGAACATTTTTTTATCACCCCTTCCTTCTGACTTATTACAGGAATTGTAGTTTAATACATTTAATATGGTAAAACAGATTTTTTTAAGGAGGTTGTTTTCAAAAAATAGTTTAAGCTAAACCGGTACTGTGCAGTCTTGACTTAAAAACTGCTCTTTTGTTATTAAAATGTGCCATTTCAATATTTCTTAATTTCACAGGTGATTGTACATTACAATTTCAGGTTAATTGAAATTTATGATCAAGAGGGCTCCATGATTGGAACTGTAAAAGAAAATGATACTGCTGGACTTTTGCTTCAAAGAAGTATTTACAAGAAGCAGATTTACCCCCTGATAGTCAAAGACCAACTTATAGCTATCAACCATCATAGAAGGTAAAAATCAGAATTCTTTATTTACTCCTGTCCAATAACAGTCATCATTTTCTTCATCATTCTCTATGGCCTCCTTGGGAACAAAGTATTCATATTTCATTATGTCCCGGAAAACAACATACATTGTACTCTGTTTTTTTGTTTGAAGGAACATGTAATAGTTCAATAAGTTGATCTATATATGACAGTTTTACTTATACCAAGAACATAAAATTAAAGGAAAGGACAGAATGGTTGTCAATAAGAATATAAGTATACTTGATTTCAACTTATGTTACTGGGCATTTCACTGTTGATGATTATTTTATGCTTAAAGCTGGACACAATGAATGTGTTAGTCTGTTGTCTCGAGCTTTACAAATACTGTAAAATCACATATTTTCAAGGGGTAAAATTTTCATGGTTCTAGGAAAATATATCAATTGGTTCATTTGGGATTTGATTTCATGGTTGAAGACTTGATCAGTCGTTATATCTGTGTGGAAAGTTGCATATTTTGGTGGACATAAATTTGTGGGTCTCTTCATACCTTGAAAACCACGAAAATTACCCCCCCCCCCCAAAAAAAAAATTGTGATTTCACTGTATCAGTTTCTAACCCATTCACCCCTTATGGTTTGTTTTTAAAATCAATCCCTTTTTGAGAGGAAGAGCAAATTCAGTCCGATGCTTTGTATGGATCACAAGTTTGTTTTTGTCTTTACAGACTGTGGTGCTACAGATATGGAGAAGAATTCTACAGTCCAGATATAAAGAGGGCCTCCTCAGTAGCAGCCTTTGGGGACATTCTGATTGTTTTAATGGACAAGAAGACACAGTTTGTGGCAGCTCATCAGCTCCGAATTCTCAACATTAATATCTCAAAATCCTGTCAAAGGTAAACATTAAAATGCATTTGATATACACATCTAACATGATGATCCCTTTTCAAACTTTAGCATTGCAGTTTAGTAAAAGGTTAAACTCTGTAGATTTACAAGGCACAGAAATTGCTCATTATACACTACTGTATACAAGGTTATATTTGCCCCGTGTTATTTTCGCCCTTTCACACTTGCAGACAATTTTTTGCTGTTTTAAATTCACTCAGTCATAGTTTTATTAAAGAAATCATACGATATGATTTGAATTCGCCCTGTTTTAAATTCACCCAAACGAGGATAGGGCATAAGGGGCGAAAATAAAATGGGGGGGGGGGGGGGAATTCCCAGTATACATTTTATAGCTGATTTGTATATATATATATATAATCCAAATGTTTGATAAAAAATCCACACAAGTATTTAAATAGTAAAAAATAACAGAACGCCGATTAAAACTCTACCGGTTTCAATTGTATCATCAGGAGTTTGACATATTGCTATATATACAAACATTTCAAAGTATATTGTGACGTCATGTAACGTCAAAAGTGTTTTTAGTACAGTTCATTGTGACGTCATTATGTTACGTTATTACGTTAACAGTTAGACAAATAATGCGGGAAAATTGTAAATTGTCTATTATGACAGGGCGTTTAGCTTTGGTTTAAACAATGAAATAAAATGTTTTTCCTTGGTTTCACGTTCCTTTTCGGAAGTCTTGTTATAGAACTTGTATATAGGAAACACTGTAAAATTAGGAAAAATGTTTTCACACATGTTCTAATATGTCCGCTCACGGCAGTACACTGGTAT